ATTCTGGGAGTTGAAGTCCACACATCTTAAACCTGCCGAGGTTGAGAAACATTGCACTAAACAGTAAAAAAAAAAAATCAGGAATACAGGTATCCATAGCCCAAACATAAAACACCATTCCCTGCCAGAGGGAGCAGCCATAACATCATGGATCCTGTGGACTGATGAAACAGCCACGTTGTTATGGACTTCCTCGAAACCAAGGGAGAAGGCCCATTTGGGTATCCAGGGGCTAGCTATTCCAGAGGAGAGGGCTGCACCTGAAAGGGTACACTTCCATGGTCACTTTAGATGGCAGTCCCTAAGAGAGAGGACCGGGAGTGAGCTAATAGAATAAAATAGAAGCATTCCATGGGTCCCTTGAGGAGCATCCATAACTACTTGAACCTCTGTATTCTGGTCCTGCTGCAACTTCTGAATTCTCTTCAGTGGAAACATTTGCAATAGTCCAGTCAAGAGGTAACTAAACATGAGAGTGAAGCCCTTCCATTCCAGCAGGGGTTGTAGCGAGGCGCACACGATGATGCTGTGTTGAAGACCCTCCTGGCCCAGCTACTGAGTATTCACTGAGCAAGAGCTCTGAATCCAGGAGGACCCCCAAGTTATGAGACGGTTCTATGCCCAGTGTGTGACCTTGTCCAGAATTAAAGAAGTCTCTCCTGAATCGGGTGGCTCAGAGTCACTCTGTCTTGCTGGGACTAAGGCTGCCTGTTCCTCTCCATTCAGACTTTAACAGCCCCCGGGCGCTTGGACAGCCCTTTGATAGCATGCCTTGTTCAGTCCAGGGTGAAGAGGTAAAGTTGAGCATTGTCAGTGTGCTGATGTGACCCTGTGTTGCTGGAAGACCTTGCCAGCAGCTTTATGTAGATGTTGAATTAGTGTGCAGAGAGCACCAGGCCCACGACTGAGGGGCTCAGTCTCTCCCCCTGGAATCATCCCTTTAGGAAGGAGAACCACTGCAGAACAGAGGCCCCATTCCCACACCTTCTACGTTGTGTGCTGTACAAGGAGGTGGTCTACTTCTGGCCCGCTTTTGACATTTTCCCGGTAGTCAATGCCCAGCTTTCAGGATGCCGAGAATATTGGTTGCAACTGCCTCCTCTCTTCCAGCTCTTGAAAAAGATGAGCTCTAGTGATACCCCCCTGGGCACGGTGGCTTTGCTGCAGGAGAAGCAAAAGGCCCAGAAGACGCCGTACATCGTGCTCAGTGGCAGTGGCAAGAGCATGAACGCGTAAGGATGTGTGGGGAGCAGGCATGGGGGGCTAGTGTTTGGCAGAGAACGGGTGGAACAGTGCAATACTGAGTGGTGCTTCTTCTTCCCCTAATTTTGTTAAGGCTCCTCCACAGAAAAAGGAATATGTTTGAGGGACATATATTTATAACTAAAATCTCTTCTAGGCCTTCCTCTAGCTTGACGTCTCAAGGGGTACATCCTTTCTGCTCCCCTTCTAAACCAGCTTTTCCCATTAGCATTTGTTAGGTCTAACACCCCAGAGGTGGTTCTAACATACCTGGAGAGCACCAGCTTCGTGATGATGTTCTAAACAATCCTTAGCAAAACTCAGCAGAAAGGGGTCTTTCCTGGGTTGGGTGGGTAGAGATGCCCTTCCGGGCCTCCTTCGCTAACTCTCTTTTCTCTCCAGAAACACCATCACCAAGTGAAACACCAGCTTCCTGCTGCTGGAGGGAGTTCTGCGCATGGGCCATGCAAAGAAGGTCTCCGTCTTTTGCTCCTTGTGGGAATCTTGTTCATATGGGCCTGGGCTCACTGATTCTCTGTGTATATAGTTGTGGAGCTTAGTTTTTAAGCACCAACCTTTTTTTTATCTATATATGACAGCGGATAGCTTGAATAAAATTAGCTGATTACTCATTGTTGAAGCCTTTTCTTTCTGCACTCAGTACAGGAATAATTTTGAAGTTTTTTGAGGTGGGGGGTAATACATTTAATGGAATTTCCCCCAGGGATTAAATAAGGAACTGCAGCTTTCTCTTCAGCCTGGATTTCACTGGCTGTCTTTGCTGAGTGATTTAACTTATGTGACTAGTTTGTGGTTCTGTGTGTCACATGAATCCAGAAAACTGGGTTAATTGAATAAACTATGACTCACATAACCATGGGTTAGCATTATGCAAGCACTTCCAGTAGTGTTTCAGAGGTATGCCATTCCAGATTACAGCTAGAATTCCCTATACTATATATAGAAAACTAGCAAGTCAGGAAAACGATAGTGGAACATAGAATCATAGAACTTGAAAGAGGCCACCGAACTGCTCTGACTGATAAAAAGCTTTTTTCTAACATTCAGTTAGAACTCCCAGTTCCTTTGATTTAAATCCAATACAGTATTTCATGCCCTGCTCACCGGAAAGAGAGAGAGAACAAGTCTGGACTTTCTCCTGCACAACATCCTTGAAGGATGCTATTATATCCCCCCCCCCGGTTGCCTCCAGGCTCAGCATTCCCAGCTCTTTCAGCACTTCATTCTGCACACAGTACTTGCCCAAAGTAGAATTGATGCAGCCTAAAGCTGCATTTTGCCACATCTGCAGGCATATCACTGCTGACTTGTATTTCTTTTACAATCAACTAAAGAACTTTTCCACAAGAACCAGGTCTAGCAGGTGCCCTCATCCTGTTCTGGGTATTTGATTTTTCTTATGTAAGTGAAGAATGTTGTATTTGTGTCTGTTAAAATTCACTCTGTTACCATCGGCCCATTTCTATGTCCTATCAAGATAGTTAGAATTTTATTTCTGTGTTCTGGGGCTTTTCCACCCAATTTTGTGTCTGCATGTTTGAGCAACAGTCTGCTTGCTTCTTCATCAAATCTTTAATAAAACATATTGAAGAGTAGGGGATCCAGGATTGCTCCTTGTAGCTCCGTTCTCTCCGATTTGATGAGGAGCCATGGTTCAGCCGTCTTCCCTATGGTTTCCACTGGTGCCATCCAGCTCGCACCTGACTAGCTTGTCTGCCGCAGGATACTTCGTCAAATGCTTTGCTGAAGACAAGATGTCTAAAGCAGTCCCACCATTTAAAAAGATTAGTCTGGCAAGACTCATTCTTAAGAAATCCATGCTAACATCTGGTAACCACCTGCTCTCAAGGTGCTGAGAGGTCAATCTCTTTACAATCTTCTCTGGAGTCTTTCCAGAACTGATAATCAGACCAACTGGTCTGTAGCTTCCTGGATCTTTCCCCTTTTGGTGTGGAGGGGGGTGTCCTCCCCTCAAGGCACCTGGCACTTCATTAGGGCTGCTAGGATTTCTCAACTACCCAAGGCTTCAGCCCAACCACAGACTGGTACCCTACGATGCGACTCTGGTTCTGAAGTCTTAAACTCCGGCAATAGTTCTATCCGTGTCAAGTGTCAATCCTGCACCTGCATTCCTGCTTTTCCCAATTTACTGGTTGAAGCTAACTGAACTCAAGTAGCAGCTCTGCTCTGTTAACCTCTATTGCAGTGTTGTCCAAACTTGGCCACTTTAAGATGAGTGGACTTCAACCTCCCTGCTGGCTGGGGGAATCTGGGGGTTGGAGTCCCCTCCTCTTAACGTGGCCCCGTTTGGACCCCACTGCCCTCGCGGTTCACCGCGCCGCGCTGCTCCCTGCGCTCCGCTTGCTTCCCCC